CTTTCCACAACTGCGGCCTTTTTGTCTGAGTAAGTAGAGAAAAACTCGATGTTATTTTTATTGAGCAAAGATTTTACATCTTTATTGTAGAACTCTGTGCCCTGATCAAACTGGGCGAATTTTGGGTATTTACCAAAACGATTATTAAATTGCTCTAAAATGTTACTGACTGCGTCCTTCATTGATGTCGCGTTTTTCCTATACACTGGTACTGTGAATGCGTACCTACTTAGTATTTCAATGGATGTGAGAATCCATCGGTATCCCTTGTTCTTGTCATCATATTTTGTCATATCAACTAAATCCATTTGTAACTGTTCACCTAAAGTTTGAACGTACGTCTGTCTGAACTTATGTTTCCTAAATACTTGTCTGTACCTAGTGTATGTGTCCTGCTCGTTTATCCATTTCTTAACCTGGTTTCTGGTTACTTTAAGTCCGTCTGATACTGCTCTAAGATATAGTTTCTCTGGTGTTTGGAATCCAGTCTTAGGACTGTAGTAAATATCTCGTAGTCCCTGTTCTTTCATAATATCATCGTCCATCTTATATTAACCAATGTAAGCTAACTACCGACTACGTTAGTAGACGCTACGCTGCGTAGCTAGTACTCAAGGTACATCTCGATAAGCACTTCACCTATATCAATAGGTTTCCCGTCTTGATCTGTCATGTAGAATACAAGTTCTGAGAAAGAACCCTTAATAACCGAAATCCTGCTTTCAACATCGATGTAGCTAACCACAGAGCCTAATAATGGTCTGTCAGTTGGGATTGTAATGCTTGTTATTACATCGCTATGTCTTCCCCAGGTGTTAACATTGAAGCTGTTATTAGCTAGATTGCAGTGTATATTTACACATCGTAGACCATTATTAAAGTCAACTTTGCTATCACTAGTTAGACTCCTTCCTTTTAGTAAGATCATTGGATTACTAAATCTATTAAAGCCAAGCATTGTTAAAAACCTGGTTTCTATTGTAACGTCTTGCTTTACAGCTTCTATTTGACATCCTGCCGTTTCAGGAAAATATGTTAGTTTAACACCGTGTCTCTCAAGTAATTTTCTCATACTATCAAATGTGTAGTAGCCCTTGTTGACAATCACATCGGATTCCCCGTCAGCTGTCTTTACCTTGATAATAGTTGTTGGTCCTGTTATATTGAAGTATTCCCAGAACACTGAAACTCTCTTTATGAAGACTGAATTATAATTACTCGTTAGAACCGAATTCTGTAGTGAAACGTTTGTATGCGAGCCCTGTAGTAAAATTGTGAACTTCATCTTAATAACATACGTTAGGTTATTAAGAATGATACCAGGTGGAGGAGACGTTGGGAAGTCGCCTTATAGGTCTTACCAAGATTATGAAAAAAAGTATGGAAAAGAAGATGAAAATGATGTTGATCCTATTGCTGGTAAAAAAGCTGAGGACGCTGAGAGGGCTAGGTTTGTTAGAAGGTATCCTAAGGCTGATATGAACAGGTTTAGGTTTGAAGCTATGACTACAAGTAGTGGTGATATTGGAGTTGTAACATGGTTTGTGGACTTAGATGGCATAACTTCATATGACATTAGGTATGGCGGCTTTCTGAATAATAAGGAGTTCACATCTTATCTTACTGGTACTAAGAAAATTATTATTCCTGCCCAGTTTATTCCAATGACTGATATGAAACAGCCCCCGTTAGAAGTACCAGGTGAAGTTGACGGGTGGCCTGCAATGTGGGCCTCCGGAAAGGGAACTGGATACGGGGTAAATTCTGATGACACGGTTGATGGTCACAGTTACTTTCCTAAAATAAGATGGTCTAAGGATGTTAACAATTTTAAGTTGTATGTTGACGCTACAAGCTTCTTTACTACAACAGGTGGTGCAGGTGGATTTCTACTTCCAAGTATATCAAGTCTTATTACCACTAAGGGTGTTGATGTAAAGTTTGATTATAACAAGCCGTATTTTGCTGCACTATGCGGGGCATATATTGCTACACATCTTAGTGGAATCACAACTAGTCATATGACTCCTAGTAATGATGTTTATCCTGTTATTACTAGTGTTATGGACTTTCATGTTTACTATACTATCAGGAAATTTGTGTACAACCCTGAGAGGCTGAAACCATATTTAAGTAGGTTGGGTCCTGTAAAGAGTCACATTCCAGTTGTTGGTAAGTGGGAAAATAAAACTGATACTTATAGAGTCACCTATGATAACGGACTTGAGTATGAAAAAGCAAGCTGGCTTAGGAAGAGAGGTAGTGATAGCAATCCAGTTAGGAACGTTGTTGCGTCCCCTATAAACTCAGTCAATGGATTTCTAATTAAGATAAAAATTAGTTATGAAGAAAGGGTTTCAGTAAGTCTGGTAGGTAAGTCTGACTATAGAAGGTTTATTGCTGTTAACAACCTGGTTGTTCCGAAGAATATTACTGAAACTGGGCTACTATTACTAAATGAGTCAGTGCAGGCGTTCTCGTATTCCGTACTAGGTGCACAAGCATCGACAAGAACTCCAATTGTAGGTGAGATGGGAAAGTCATTTTCTACCCAGGTGAAGTTCGGTAATATTGTTCACGATTGTGTTGTACAAGCGGATCCCGTTGTAACTCTATCTAATATGAGAACGGCTATCAGGGACACAAATGTTATACTTAATACAGCCATTACACCTGGAATAGTTCTGGTTCCATCCAGTCTAATCATTCTAAAGAACCCCGTTCCTGGATATAATAATATTCTTGTAAATGCTTCTTATAATATGAAGCGTGGAGTTAACACTAAGGTAAACTATGTTGGAGTTAAAAAGCCTGATCCTCCAAAGAAGCAACATCAAGACACTACACCAGTTCACCACCTTGATACTATTCACGGAACTAAAAAAGTTCCAGGAGGTTCTACAAGTACTAAGCCCAGGGGAGGTTCTACAGGTGCTAAGACTCAGGTTGTTCCTGTCACGGGGCATAGTGTGGTTAGTACTAATGAGTCTTCAGGAGTCAGTGCTATTGCTGGAGCTGGAATTGGTGCTATAGTCGTATTCATTCTAATGAAAGTTGTCCTGTAAACATTATGTATTCTATAAAATGGCTCTCTATAGAGGATACAATAAAGGAGTAAATAAAGTTGACCCATCAAGTGGTAGTGTGTTTGATAAGGATGGATTTACCATGAAAGGTGACATTGAGATGGATGGTAATGAGGTGAAAGGTCTGGGTGCACCTACAGATGATACTTCTGCGGTCACAAAAAACTGGGTAGATAATGAGATCATTAAACGGGCTGCTCTTACAATTCAACCTGTAGGGTTTACAATGACTGGGGATATTAACATGGGAGGTAATAAGATAACTAATCTTGATAATCCTACTAACCCAGGTGATGCTGTTAGTAAGAGGTGGGTTGAAGGTAGTCGTAGGCATATACATGTAAGCCTACCTGGACTTATTCTTACAAATAATCTCAATATGTCAACCAATGAAATAAAGGCTTTAGGTGATCCCACAACTGGAAAGTCTGCTGTTAGTAAGGACTGGGTAGTTGGAATGCTAAATAGACCTGTCACTGGACTCGATATTTCTGGTGATATTGATATGAAGGACCATGAGATTAAAAACTTAGCTGACCCCACTGAGGACCAGTCTGCTGTCACAAAAAAGTGGGCGGTTGATAATAACTTTGTTAAGAAAGGTGGAATAATGCAAGCAGATGTGTCCATGGGAGGTTGGAGACTATTTGACCTTACTGAGCCTAAAATTAGTAGTGAAGCTGTATCTAAAGGTTGGGTTGAGAGTAAGCTGTCTACAATCCCCAGTTCCTCAGGTTTTACAATGTCAGGTGATCTTCAAATGGGTGGACATGAAATTAAGAATGTTGGTAATCCCACTACTGACCAATCTGTTGTTACAAAAAGATGGTTTGACTTAAACAGGGGAACATTTCTAAGGCTAAGCGACTCTTTCCTAACACAGAGTGTAACCGGGCCTATTAGCTTCTCTAAGGCCCCTAAAAGTTTCTCAGATGGGTTAGATTCAGCCAGTCTTGTAAGATTTAGCCAGTTAGTTACCTATCTTAAACTAAACGGTCTAAGTGAAATGACTGGTAATCTTAAGATGGGTGGAAATGAAATTGAAAATATTGGTAATCCTAGTGTTGATACATCTGCTGTTTCCATGTGGTGGGTAAAAAATAATGTTGTCACACGTGCTGGTGGTTCTAGAAATAATATGACTGGTAACTTATGGATGAAAGGTAATAGAATACGTGAACTCGGAAATCCTGAGTATCTCACAGATGCTGTAAATAGAGGGTGGGTTGAAAATAAGATCTCTGGAGGTAGACGTAAACGTGAGACTTATAGTGGTATTACACTATCTGATGACCTTGGCATGAATAACAACGAAATAATAAAGTTAGGTGCTCCTACAACTGATAATTCTGCTGTGTCTAAGAAATGGGTCACGGATCATGTTAGTGTGAGTTCTACGAGTAGTAGTGGACTTACTATGAGCGGTAATATTGATATGGGTGGTAATAGTATTACGGGGCTAAATAGTGGCTCGGTTGGGGATTCTAGTGCAGTTTCTTATGTAACTATGAGCAATTGGTGTAAACAGTTCCTGAAACGTGATGGTGGTGTTTTAGCAAGCAATCTAGATGTTAACGATTTTGAGTTAACGAAAGTTGGTGACCCTACAACTGACGGTTCAGCTGTTAATAAGGGATGGGCGACTAATGAGTTCATGAGTAGTAGAGGTGGACTGGTAAAGGGTGATTTGGATATGGGAGATTCAAGTGGTATTCTAGATCTAAAGGATCCGGTAAACGATAAGGATGCTGTTAACAAACAATGGGTAGAAAGGAATTTCCTTAAACCTTCCACTGGACTTGTACAAGCAGTGGCTGATAAGAGATACGTAAGAATAAACCGTCATATTCACGCTGAGTGGATCTGGGGTTATCGTGGTGTTTCAGTTGCAGCAACAAGGTACTATGCTTACTGTCACGATCAGATTCCACCTTCATGGAGAACAGATCCTATTAATAATATGGCAGACCTCAACCTTGAGTCGATTACTATTAAATCAGACTTTCCAACCTTTTCAACCATTCTAAATATACCACTAGCTCTAATTCTATGGGCTACTGTATGGGAAAAACAATCTAATGGAAAATTTACCCAGGTTAAGAAGGAAATCGCCCTGAGGACAATAGACTTAAGAAGACTGTCACACACCTGGTTTAACGGAACTTACACAAGTGATGGAGGAAGTACAGCTTGCTACGTTTTCAAGGGTAATAGTATGTTCTATTTAGGAGACCAGGTTGAGTTGGTAGATAACACGCTAGCCTGGTGTATTATAGTTAAACCTGAACACTCAATGCCCACTGGATCGAGTATGGATATGTCCTTTTGCTGGTCACTTCGATATTCGGGGTCAGGTAGTTAACATGTGGTTTATTATAAGATAAGATGTCAGGGTGGAGGTCATGCTTCTCATGCTTAGGTAAGATTTGTGGTTGTCGTAAGAGTTCTGGTAAGAATGG